TTGCTCACTAGCGGATCTCAGACTTCTGGAGGGGATGTAGATTCGTAATAGTGAGTGGAAGTAGGCGGGTGCTGAGCCTGTGGCTGTTCTATATGCAAGCATCAGTGTCTTGAACTTGATTCGAGCCGCAACCGGTAGCCAGTGCAAGGAGATAAAGAGAGGTGTAACATGGGCTCTTTTGGGCTCGTTGAAGACCAGTCGTTTTCAATGAAATAATTATATATAAAGATAAAGGTTTATATAAACCTAATATATGCATTATTTAATTAAATGTATCAATATAAATGATTTATATTTTACAGATCCCCACTATTTTTTTTTAAAGATGTTCTATGTATTTTTCTTTTCTGTACTTATGCTATAATGTATCTCCTCAACTTTTCAAATCATTCAATTCAGTCTGCCACCAAAATGCTGATGTCTTCTGCTCTCTGTCATGCAGTTTGAGGAATGTCTCTACATTGCTGTGAATGGAGACGGAGATGAGACCGAGGAGGATTTAAAGAGAAAGATCTATGTGATGAAGAAACTCACAGAAATCATGTTTGGCATGGTGACTCTCAGCGGCGCCCTCTTGAGGAAAGAGTGAGAACTGCACTTTTAGTACAACACCAGATTTTAAGACATACTGTAAAATAGTACAAATAGTCTCATTGCATTTCAGTTCATATTCTTATTTTTTTAAAACCAAAGACTGTTGTAATAACCTTTGAACTGAAACCTGAACAGAAAAAAAAAAACTTTTATTTGTCAGATTGCGCCCTCAAGATACGGAGCAAAGGAACCGGTTGTGGAAGAAGCTGCGAAGCCTCTTGGAAACATACAGCCGCTTAAGAGAGAACGACCAAAGCTTTTTAGTGGAGGTGTGTGCAAGTGCTGTTTTTTTATTAGTTGCATGCTAGTTTTAGTTTTCAATCACACATGACGAGTTCTCTGCCTCTGTTCAGGCGGTGGAAAGGTTGATCCACCCGACCCTTTGTGAGCAGTGCATCGAGTTTCTGGAGCGTCGACTGGTGCAGCAGATCAACAGCAACATGGACAGAGCGGGCGAGGAGGTGCTACACGCTTTCATACTGGTGCAAACCAAAATGCTGGCCTTCTACTCCAGGTACAGTGAGATCAAGATGTTTTGACCTCAACATCAGAAGGAAGTGACAACATCTGTAGGAAGTGCTACAGAGAACTTTGAAAATCTTTGATTTCTTACGTTTGTGCAGTCGAAGTGCCAGCAGTCTATCCACCTCTGATCTTCTGGCTCTGATCATCCTGGTGCAGGATCTCTATCCCAGCAAAATCGACCTAGATGACACTCCTGAGGTTTGATATCTCTTGCTTGAAGACACAGTATGTTTGTTGTTTTTTTTCATTAAGGCCTTAAACAATTTCTGTATACTTAGGAGTTAGAGAACAGTTCAATTCCAGATGTGTTCTACACACCAGAGCCCTCTCCTCCTGAACGGGAATCAGGTGAGTAGACTTCATATCTAATGCAATGACATTCAGACATGTGTTTGCTAAAATATTGAAATGCGCCAAGAGTGATTGGTATTATATAAATACAAGCCACATATGTGAATTTTCTTATGTTTTGAATGCATAGTCCGACCAAGAGGTGACAGTCCTCCTGTCTTCCAGTTTGTAGATCCCGATGTTCAGGTGAGCTGTCTGTTTTTCACCTCTGTTGCCCTAAAAGTAATATGATCTGATTCTGATAATACACTACTGTTCAAAAGTTTGTAGGTCAGTAATATTACAAAAGATTGCTATTTCAAATAAATGCCTTGTTTAAATGTTCTTTAAACTTTATTCCTCAAAGAATCTTGAGAGAAAAAAAAAACATTTCCACACTTTATTAAAGGGCAGATCTTCTTTATGCACCAAGAGCTTGTAACACTCCAAAGAGAAAGGAAAAAATGAATTGCATCATATGACCCCTTTAAGTAACACAACCCTTTTCAAAAAATAATGATATGAAGAAGAAATGTTTATTGAGCATCAAATCAGCATATTAGAATGATTTCTGAAGGATCATGTGACACT